GCTCCCCCCCCCCGAGGCAAGCGTGTGCTCCGAATCTTCCGGACACAATTTGAAAAGTGCCGGTTAAAGGTCTTCTTTGTTATTTATTGAGCTTTAAAACTAATTAATAACGACTCTATNAGGAAGAACTGATGATTCAAATGTTGTAGTACAAGTAGTAATGTAGTTAGTGCATAAATTACTATTGCAACAAATGTGTTAATTTTCTTCATTATTAGTCGATTTTTTTAATGCAGACATATGTTGCAGGGACTACTAGAATCATAATACTGGCGTGACTGTAAACATCAAGGGGTTAAATTAAAAACTTTTTTAGAGGACATTTCAGAATATCGCGATATATATCGTATATCGCGATATAGTCAGTAAATATCGCGATATCATTTAGAGACCATATCGCCCAGCCCTAGGTCAAAGGTCTTCTTTGTTATTTATTGAGCTTTAAAACAAATTAATAACGACTCTATATAATAATATAATAATAATACACAGAGCCTCTCTTTTCCTCCCTCTCTCCTGGGTGCCTCCGTCAGCAGCAGCAGCAGCAGCAGCAGCTGATCTCTGATCTCTCTCTCTCCTGTCCAATTAGACTTCACTCACGTTTATGTTCATATAGATCAAATCTAGCTGGAGGCTCCTGCTGGGTGCACTGTCCTGCGAGATACCGGGACCTGGCTCGAAACACTCGGTTGTTGTTGTTGGCGAAACACACCGGCAAAGACGCGGGTGACACGGGGGTGAGCAGGAGAGGTGATGGGGAGAGGCGGGGCGAGGCACGGATNATAATATAATATAATATATAATAATATAATATAATAATAATAATAATATATATTATAATATAATAATATATATAATAATATAATATAATATATAATAATATAATATAATAATAATAATAATATATATTATAATATAATAATATATATAATAATATAATATAATAATAATAAGATAATATATCCTCATTATTAATGATATTTCAACAACAATTGTTTTGTGTAATCATGTTGGAAAAGCGCCAATAGTCAACCACACAATACAGTGAATTATTCATATATCATGGTATTTGATCAGAGGTATCAAGATATTTGGTGTTCTCCTTAAAGCCCTAACTGCCAGATTTGAATTTGATCCTTTTCCTCTTGATACAAATGTGGGTTTTTAGGGGTACTGTACTTGTGAGTACAGAACAATAGGGTGATATACATGATGAGTTGTAAAAAGCCCAACAGGAATCGCAAAAATGGGAAAGATTGACTTTGCAAATGTTTCTGCTGCACCAGATTTCAGATATGAGTTCTGGTTTCTCCTGAACCTGAGACGTGACGCTGCCCAGTGGAACCCGTGTTTACTGAATGAGATCAAAGGTGTCTCTCAGTCTTTGTGACTCGAACAGGCTGGCGAGGTGAGAGATGCAAGATACATCTGATTTGCTGCGACAGCGGAAAGGATGATTCATTGATGATGTTCTTGAAGTGCAAGAGCCCACAGAAGTACCCATCACATCTCCTCAGGTTGTGTCCAACCACATCAAAGCCTTTCCTCCTCTCAGGGATGTCACCAGCTCATTTGGTGACAGAGAGAAAATAAAAGGATCTCTAACAATAAAATTCAGTGTAGAAACAAGGTGCCATACTGGAGATAGTCTCAAACGGTGCAGCAAAGCAGAGATTAAATACATTTCTGTGTGTTTTTGCTTGCAACCCAAGTTAACTTGTTTGGGTTTCATGTGCTGGTTTGGCAGGTTTTGGGTTGGTGCCATTTTAATAATCAAGACTGCCTTTAGAGGGAGTCATACTTACAGTAATAATTACTCAATGAATGCCTATCTGGATATTCATGCATTTGAAATCAAATCTACTTATTCCACAACAAATGTGTGAAATTCAGAAAACACACAATCATTGGCTAGTTAAAAGAAATCATAAAGCAGACTATTAAAGTATCAATTTCTTTCTCACAAGTTTTGCCATTTGAAGACCAAGCATACTCGCATACTCAACATCCCATGGCAAAAACAGTTCAACATGTTCCATTTAAAGCCAATGTGATCTCTAAGCTTTATAGGCGAGGCAAGGTCTTTATTATTTTTCAGCCAGGTGGCATGTTTTAATGTCGCTGTGTACATACTAGTGTAGTCAAACAACATTCTAATTAAAATCAACCTTCATAGCAAATCACTGACAGGATGTTGCTTCTTATGATAAGGTGTCGCTGACCATGACCCACTTAAAACAGAGATAGACAGATTGTGTACACAAGGATCAGTGCATCCAATATTAGGGAAAGACAGAGATCAATAAGGACTTACATGAGATCAGTGTCTTTGCTTTGGTGGAACAAATCAATCAGTGCTTTACATGTTATTATTGCGGAGGCAATTTGAGAACAGACTGCCTTTGAGAGACATATTTAAGCAGAACTTCGTCCACATTTACGCTTGTGCAAAACGGTAAAAACACTTTGGTTGAACTGTCAAACCGAGAAGTCAAACTGAGAAATCGTTGCGAAACAAGCCTGTGGGGATAATCCCAATCAAGTCATAATTTTCCTATCTTATCTCACACAGCCTTTTTTTAATACAAATCCAAGGCAACTGTAGAAACCATTTTCTGAATAAACATTGCACAATTGGGCGGCAGGTTTCTCAAACAAAACAAATGGGACAGGTAAAAACTCACCAGACAGGTTATTGTCGGTGAAAATACGACTTTGAACTACTTCAAGGCTACAGAGGCACAGCATATTTTAATAGCATTATTTCATTTACTCATGGGATAGTCACAGAGTTCTGGGCTAAACCAATTGAACATTAAATTTAGTCGTTAACATTTGAGGGATTTGCTTCAAATTCCAAAACTATGTGCAATAAGTGAGCTGGTAGGTCTAATTCACTTTAGTGTGTGTGTGTGTGTGTGTGTGTGTGTGTGTGTGTGTGTGTGTGTGTGTGTGTGTGTGTGTGTGTGTGTGTGTGTGTGTGTGTGCGTGTGCGCGTGCGTGTGCGTGTGTACAGTAGAAGTGAACCTGGTTACATAAAAAAATACCTTTCATGCTTAAACCATTAAGTTGACATCTTCATGCATTCCAGTAAGCAACAATATATAACGTAAAACGATCTCTAAAATAGATTGTTGTTTTATAAATGTGTTTTGTGACTGGCCGAGTATAATAGATTCCCCATCATTACGAAGAGTTTACTTAATGAATCACCTTATCAAGACGTCAATGCAAACAATGCATTTTTCTTACAGCTGTGAAGTCTTTCAACATGACTCAGTTGTAAATAAAAAAACGTTGCCACAATAGGTGTACAGCGCAACAGCTCTGGGTGTATGCTACTGTATTTAGAAAATTAAATAAAACAGTCATCATTGTTCAAATTCTTTCTAGGCCAGGAAACAATGTCTTAGATGAGAATCATCAGGAAGTCATTCTTTCAGGCGTCCAATGAAGTCACTTGACTCAATAGATATACCGGAAAATGTGTTCATTGCCTCAAACCTGTATAACCAATACTGTTCTGTCTCCTATTATTAGTGTGTATTCTTAGCAATGTTGTGGTTGGACAAACAATTATGTTTTGTTTTTGTTACTTGAAATCTGTTGGCTTCTTTCTGCTTCGATGATAATATTAGGTATCAAAAGTACAGTACAATCTTTACAGTAAAATATTAACTTCATATTCTAGAGCTGTGTTTCACTTATGCTCCAGTGGAACATTGCACATTTGTTTCTACATAAAGCGATGAGTTTACACATGTGCAGCCTCAAAATTTCTCACTACGAAGTACGCCGGCCTCGGTAGAATTCCAAGTATGCTGGACATTGGAACAGTCCATCGGCGGCACTCGATGACGTAGTATGCTTGAAATAGTGGCTCTGGAGCAGCCTTCCTCGACATTGAGAAACACCCCCTGTTTGACTCCGCAACTGATACCCATCAGGCTTTCTGTTTGTTTGTTTGTTTGTTTGTGTGTACAAAAGCCAATTAATAATAACTGAACAAACTGAAATTAAGTCTGCATATGAGGTTCACATCAGGGCAAAACAAACCATGTCCCCCCAGTGCGTTTTTAATTATTACTCTCTTGCAACAGGAACATTATTTAATGGCCTATTCATACATTTATTATTTTAGCTGTTAGTTTGCTCCTCACTAAAACGTTGTGATAACATTAGCCGATATCAGGTTGTTTATGATTTATGTACACAATGGTTTTTCAACCATATATACACACGTTAGCCCCCAATGTGTGTATAAGCATGTTCTTTGACTTTCTTTATTTTGCAGTTGAGAGTCATTTCCTGTAATCTCTAGACACTACGAATAACCTGAAAGACGATAGAGAGAGAGAGAGAGAGAGAGAGAGAGAGACTCAAGGTGGAGAGGGGAGGAGGAGGAGGAGGAGGGAAGAAAAAGGGAAGTATGGAGAGAGAATAAAAGTAGGCGGAACATAAAGTATGCAGAAGAACCGGAACAAAGCAATAACATATTCCAAAGTACACCTGCAGCGCACACCTGAGTAAAGCCACTCCTTTCCCAGAGAGTATCAGAGATGGTTGTGAGGCGGACGCCAGATAAACAAAGGAAACTCCTTCACAGCTTTAAGATTCTACAGCCCTTCTGAAAGCCACTCTGGTTTTGTTTTGAGGGATTTTGGAGAGTTTTATTTTGGATTTAGTCTCTTTTTTTGTCGTGTGGAATTTATGTTACTTTTGCTAAGACTCGCAACTTAGCGGCGGGAGTTTCAGAGTAGGACTTTGTTTGTTTTTTTCCCGTGGCCCAGATACCAAATGAAGATGTGGTCTCTGAATGTCATCATCCTGCTTCTGTTCTGCTATGGTGAGTACAGTGGAGCACTTACAGATGTATGTTTTGATTGAGCAAATTGTCATTACAAAGTAGTTCTTCTGGGAAAAATAAGCAATACCAACAATACAATAACGCTTATAATAAGAGGACTTTTTAAATAATAAATGCTATTTCATTTTAGAAGCAGTCTAGCGTAATATTGACAATGTAATTTTGAAGCTTATAAAAATGCAAATTTTAAATTGACTCCTCTGTATGTCATTCTCAACTTGTCTCTCTTATAATAAACTACATGGGCTATAACATTAAGATGTAACAAGCCCTGGTTTGGTAAATCAAGCGCGCCTTGTATATGAATTTTTATCATGAAAATGTGGTCCTTGTATAAATAACTCAAGCTTTAAAATACAGGCTGGGTTCCTGCATCCCTTTCCTGTATGGCAACACGAAAGAGTATCAAATAACAGCTTTTTTCAGTTTCAGCCACAAGCAGAAACAAAGTCCATCTTTCATAATCTCCCTGTGGTCCCGGATATTTCTAGTGTATGTGTGCTGTATCGCTTTACTCTAAAAGGTCCTAACAAAGAACCTCAGATATTGGGAGACAGCAATGGCTGAGGATGCTGTTTTTTTTTTGTAACTGTATGTGCTGGGAACATTTGAGCTTGTTACAGAATAGTGTCGGTCCCCTCAGGATTTGTATTTATAAAAATTATGAATATTTTTGAAATTGAAAACCAGACTTAATGAGAACAAGCTTGGAACCAACATCCGCCATAAAATACTTTTCTCATGTGCAATATTTTTTCCCAACAGCTTCTCTTTTAAATTGCGATGGAAGAGTGCATTTTGTCTCCAAGAACTTTTACAACATACTGCACTGGGACCCTGTCTTCCCCGGGGAAAAGGTCCTCTATAGCGTGCAGTACAGGAGGTAAGACCTGGGATGAAGGATGAGATTGTACTCCTATACTTCCCATTGCCCTCCATGTGACTCTGTGAAGAGATCAATAAAGAGTGGGGGGTCAGGGCAGGAAACTGTGATGCAGGGGTAAACAATCTGTTATCCCTTAGTTATAGTGGCAATGTCAAGGTACTGTCAAATGAGCATGTTGTAGATGGTGCTCACTTCATTTGAGGTTATATATTTATTTACACATGGGACAAGTCATTGTTGGTTCTGGTCTTTCCATGGGAATTGAACTATTTTAAATCTAGGAATTGTATCCATGTAAAATCAAGTAAAAAGGTGCATTTCTTTGCTTTCTTTTCGAGAATTGTTACCTGCTATGTCTTCTAGAAATGGTGTACTGGCTTAATGAATGTGTTGCTGAAAAACTTAAACGCACTATGCTGCTAGGTTTTAACTTCAGTAGCAATAGATTAGACGTAATGCTAAAGAAGAGCAATATGTGTCTTTCTTTCCTTTTTAGACTCAGCTTCTACAACTGTGAGTGTGATTGCATGTAATTACACATGACGCAGTCTCCCAGACAAATGTCAAACGCCACACCTATCGTATTATTTTCTTTTGTCCCTTCCACGGTCACGGAATGCTTTAGCTGGACTTTAAGCATCAACCCAGCTGCACAGGAAAATGCTGCTCACTCAATATCATTTCCTGGTTGCTAAAAAATGCTGTACTTTTTTCCGTGTGTTACATAATCATATGGTTGATTAAATTACACACAGCACATTTAAGTTATTTGTTCTCGGTTTGATACCAGTTAACCTAAAGTGTTACACTGCCCTGCTCATTCAGTTTTTAAAATCATATTTTACTCCACTTATTTTACAGTGATGAAGAAAATCAGACATTCCAGATAAAGAAGGAGTGTCAGAACATTGCTGATCGGTTCTGTGACCTGACTGCGGAGACCCCATCAGTTTATGACGTTCAATACCGGGCTAAGGTGTTCTCCAATGGTGGCGTACGAGGCAGCCATAAGTTTAAACCGATAGCAGAAAGTAAGAATCTCCACGCTCGATCATGCATTTCTTGCTTTTGTCAAAGCCAGATGTATTCTACTGCAACCTAAATGTATTTATCTTTCTTTGCCTCCACAGCTATTCTTGGTCCACCAATCTTGTTTAAACACACAACCGTGTCATCCTTGCACGTTAACATCACCCTGCCCTTGGGGCCAAATGGAAGCTCAGTCGAGGACATAATCATCAAAAGCAAAAAAGGACCTGAAGAAGTTCAAATCCATTATACCTTAGACATCATCAAGCCAAAGTGGGCTGCACAGGTAGGTCTCCATTCATAAAATAAACTGTTCAGAAATTCCTTCAGCCATCATATAATCATACAAGCCATCACATATAATATAATTACAGGTATGCCGATTGTATGTTACATATTAGTAGAAATGCTATGTAACATACATTCACAAACATACCAATTAATGATTTTTGTATTAGACAAACCTAATCATCTATAGACTTACAGTAAGTTCATTTAAAGTATTTGGTCTTCAAGCTGTGATGTAGAATGACTTTCTTTTATCCATCCCCAAGGTTTACCTGTTGTTTTAAAGCTTTGGTACGCAATTCATTTTAGAAGCATTTATGTCATATGTGTTAAAATGTTAACATCGCAACAACAATCAATAAATCAAATCCCTTATCTGTGGCAGTCGCAGACGAGGAGTAAACCCCTCCTATCATTTCATTCTGCCCGTATGAATAAATTGGATCGCATACCGCCCGTCTACATGCATAACTGCGCGCACTAAACAGATATTTAGACACGGTCACTGCGCTCCTCTGCAAATATATCTGATGGCACAAAGCTGTATTCAACGTACCTAGCTTGAAGTAGTTTGTTCTTCTTGTTACAGTTACATTAACATCTGTATGTCCTTGTGTCACCAGGTTCATGTCACCACAACTGGCCGGTTTGTGATCGACTTGAGGAACAACCAAACAGAGTACTGTGGCAACGTGTTCTACACGCCGTCCACTGAGGGACGGTTGAAGAGTGAAAATGCTACGTTCTGTGTCACTCTGCCAGGTGAGGAAGAGGAATCTAACTTGTATTCCTTTTACACCCTCTTTCGAGAAGTACAAAGTATACTGATAACAATATTAATATAACTTCATGCGGATGATCTGTTTGCTGCTGCTTATGTTTCATTGTATCCACTAAATGCTCTTTTTGTATACATTGAAAAGCAACTGCCAGTTTCTAATACCATTTTTTTAAATTAATAACTTGATTTACCTTTCTGAAAACCTGACTTATGGAGATTAAATGCTATCATAGTTCAAAAAAAGCAGCAGTATAACAGTGAACATTTTCCTGGGAAACTATCAAGGAGCTAGTTGCTGTGGAGAAAACTCAAGAAAATGTTTGAGTGATAGTTGAAAATGTTGCATTTTCTATGTTTGACTTGAAGTACTCAGTGCTCTTCTCCTCAAGTGATTATAGCCACTCAGAAACAAGTGTTTAGGATTGTATCAAGACAGGTTGTTATAAACCATTCTCATTTTATAAACCAGTCCCTGCTTTCTTCACCAAGCCTTCAAGAACATGGTCAAATAGGAACATTTAATTGTTAAAAACAGGCACTTTTGGTGGTTTTTGGGTGGTGACCTCTCCTTATGCTGCTGCCGTACTATTTTTAAATCTTCACTGAAGACACACTTCTCCTCTCTGGCCTCCTAGTCAGAGCCGAGCATGACACCTGACATTTCTCTGTGTTTTGTCATTATATTTCTGATGTAAATTCTTGTCTTTTCTATTGTGTTTTTCTTATGTTATTGTAGTGTGCTTGTATTACATGTGCAGCACTTTGGCTCGACCAAAAACCGTTTTTAAGTGTGCTTAATTTGATTGAATTTGATACTGATAAGATTACATTAGATTCGATTACACTCATTTTCCTGACCTTAGTTTGTGTTATTGTTTATTATTCTACTGGTAAAACTGAGAATAACAAATGGTGACAGCTTCAGGCAAGATTATACATATATATTACACAGGTGCTGCGGGGATTTCCACTTCTATATGTTGCTGTGAAGATTTCTGTTTGGATAAGATCCTGTTCACCAACAAGTACTTTGGAGAAGTTCATATATATATATATACACTGGTTAATCAACAGTCCTGTCACACAGGCATGCTACAGTGCTACTCCCCGATAACGTGCCTAAGCTTGTGTGTCGCAATGGGAAACTTTTTAACTTGTCGCTTGAGGGTTCAAATTTTACGTGTGTGATTTCCTGGACTGGTTTTAAAGCAATTATCTTCTTCCTCAGATGATCCTCTGATTCTTTTGCCATGGCTTCTTGTGAGTGCTGCTCTACTGACGACCATAATCATTGTGTCAGTTGTGTACATGTGCAACTACGTGAAGGCTGGAAAGGAAAAGAGCAAGCTATTGGTAAGATGTTTATTTCCTAATGTTTTCTTTGAAGTGCCAACAAGGAACTGTTGCCTTAACTGGGAAATCAAGCCCTCTGGCACTTTGATTACTGTACACGTGTTCAAGGTTTGTGTGTGACATAGCAAAGAGAAAGTAATTAAAGATATTGAATATCTGTGGATGTTGTTTTAGCAATGTTAAATAGGTTTTCAATGACTCATGGGGCTTTCAGTGTTGTCATATGAAGTGTGGATAAAGTGTTGCCTGGAGATAAAAGGCATTTATTTGTTTTAAGAATTCCATCCATCTTGTTTTGCTTTTTTTTACCAATGATGGTAAATGTTGTCATTCATATGAAAATGTATCTTTAAAAAAAAGAAGCCAATTCTCATTGGCAGAAATTGGACTTTTCTGTATCAGTACATTCAAATCAAATGGAAATAGGTTTATTTAGCAACACAAATCCAGAACCCTTTGAACTGAATTTTTCTCTCTGTATTTTCTTAAAAAACAGGTATCCACCATCAGCCCTCCACACAGAGTTCTGCCGTCTCCAGATAGGAATATCGTTATTTCCAAACCGGAGATCTACGTTCAAAGTGAACCAACAGTTTACTCAACAGTTCGAGTGGAGACAAATAGGCCTGTACTTGGGCCTGGAGGTTATTCCCCCCAGGACATCCCCTGGCAAGACAGCGATTGCTCTTCTGTGGAGACAAGTGCAGACAGTGCGACCTCAAAACACGAGAACACCGGCGGCCAATCGTCAGAGAGCTACGGTGCAGTAGCTGTCCATGTCCCTGCTGCCCAGAATGAAGACTTTCAGCAGGCTACTAACGACAAAAGAGAACCCAGTAACGTACAATTATCTTCCAGTGGAGAAAGCTGGAATAAAGAGACAGTGAGTCCAAACCTGACCTCACTTGGACTACCAACGTTATCAGATCAGGAACCATGTGATAACAATCCAACCAGACCCCTGCTGTTGCAAACAGAGCGGGACACAAATGGACAACTTGTGTTGCCTTCACTCATGTTTCAGTTACAGAGCGGCACAGATGACTTTGTATCACCTCTTAACTCTGAGAGAAAACCTCTTTTATCTGACCTCATAGACTCCAAGACGGAGCAGCCATCATTGGCCAGATTGCAGAGCTTTGACAGCTCAAAGTGGTCGGACTCAGGGTTTGATGATGGCAGTGTACACACCCCAACCCAGCTCTACTGCAACACTCACTTCTCCCCCTCTCAACCAGTTGCTTCTTATTTCCCACAGGGATGTGAGAACACATCTAAAGATACCATGTTTGAAACAGGTTACAAAGAAAGCTGGATGCCTGCGATCCCTCTTGGAATTGCATCAAAAGACAGTTGTGAATACAGAAAGACTAACTATCCTTGGACCAGGACTGGTCTCAAAAAGGAGGAGGAAGATATGGGAGAAGACGAGGTATCCAGGCCAATTTTTCTGGGAGGTTGGGACTTACAAGTTCAGGAATAACCTCCTTGTTTTAGCCTAAAACCTGCTTTGTTTATGGGAGCACGAGAGACAACAACTGAACACTGTGTGGCTAATGACGGATAGGCAGATGTTTAAACTCTCCTTAAACAAAGTCCAAATGTAGCCCAAACTAAGACACATTCAAAAACAACACCTCTTAATAAAGTACATTTCATATCATAAAAGTAATATATTATATTTTGCTGTAAATCTGATTTTATTTATTTTTTCACAATTGTAAAAAGACAGACTGTATGAATTGTTTACATTGGAAGACATGATTGTATATACATTGTAAAGTTTACTTTGTACAATTCAAAACCACTTTTTAACAGAATTTCAGTTTATATGAGTATGTTTCACATTAACCTTTACATTTGTATTCTATTCCAAAGTTGTGTAAAGACAGCTTCATTCTGTTTTGTTTGCATAATGAAAGAAAAAAACACACGATTACACCGGTCATGTTTGTATGGTAAGTGGTATGAAAAGCTGTTTAAATTACCTTCATAGAATTCAACTCAGTCGGACCACTTCAATCAGGTTTTAAGTGCATGGTTTTTATAACAGCTGCAATGACACAGTCAGCGTGTGCATTTGTGTGCCATCACTATGGTGACACATTAGTGCAACATTGACCAAAGTCTAAAATACACAAACCCAATCTGGCCACTTTTAAATTACAATGTGGAGAGTCAACCTTAAAGATTTGCTATGACAACAAACCTGATTGCTTTGTGGCCGACAAAAAGTACAAGGTATTGTCAACTTTTGCGCCATTTAAAATGAGACTTAATGACTGAATTTCCCCTAGAAATGACTGTTTTCTTATTTTTACAACACTAACATATGTCAGTATTATCAGTGTTTCATACCTACATAAAAACAAGGAATATTCCCGATCTTTCTAACTCACAACGTTCACAACCTCATTTTGTTCTCCCCATTGTTTGCTGTCCTTTCAGAGAAAGAAAATACAGCGTGTAAAAATACATTAGAAGGTGGGGTCATGGTGCAACCTGATCCACGCTGATAACAGCCTGAGCACAATCTTTTATACTCAGCTGTAAAGTAATAACGTAAGGTGTGTTAAAAAGTACAATGTGAGTCACATGCGGAGGACACATTGTACTAAGAATGTACTTGAATTAATGTAAGTAAGTTACAACTTTGCTTTATTCTGTATTTGTGTGTTGGAAAGTTGAAATGATATTATGGAAATTCTGAAAAATAAATATTGGAGAACTTTTTATTCACATGTTGACATTTACCATCCTGAGTCACTAACTTGCGTCCCTTGGTTTACAGGTAAGTGAGTTAAGTATGCCAGTAAAAAATCCAATCCAAAATTCATCTTAACACTGTCTGACGTAGTGTGTGTTTTTAAATCAACGAAGAAAGAAAAGTTTCTTCATCCTTTTTATTTCTTTACGTGTTGCTGCCTGCTTGTATACACTGCACAAATATGATGAAGTGAACCAATAAGCCACAATGCACCCATATACAGTAGACAGTCATTTAACAGCAAACTGAGTTTAGGTGGTTTATCTGGAAAACGTTATACATGGATTATTGGTTAAGAAAGAACATTAAAATCATTGGAACAAAAAATGATCTTATACGGTTTGAAATAAACCAAAATACAGAGCAGCTTTTGTATCCTGGATAGGGATTTAGTCATTTTTCTTCACAAGAAACGAGAAGAGGAAGTGATCCTCCCATTTAACTGTCCAACTCTGAAAGGGAAAGATGCATCTATCTGCATCCATTGGACATTTTCCAAGGGTTAACATTAGCCTCAGGTGGATATCTGTTTAATACCCATTGTGTGCCTGGTATGTAACTGATACTCTAACGGACACACAGGTAACAGGGAAGAAGAAACAGAAATGTCTCATTTTGAAGTATCTAGGGGACCTAACCCAAATAGACTGGAAGCTACACACACAATATCCAACAAGGAATATTTATAAGCGAATATTATTTTCTCACCATTAATAAAGGTCTCACAATCATCGTATTTTTCATATTGTTTATTACAGTTGTCCTGTGATCATCCCAATGGTTGGATTTGGTATTGGCAGACAAATATGGACTCAGGGTCAAAACTATATCCAGACATTTTGTTTTATATTGAATGTTTTCGATGGGAAACTAGACGAAAACTCAGGTGCATCAATCACAAAGCTAATTTAATGTGGCAAAAACAACAGATCCATAAATCATAACAACAAACTACACTGACTTACTACACATACACTTTGCTAAATACTAACACGCAAACACTTTGTGAAATGATGGCAAAATTGAATCAATACACCTGAGAAACAGTATGAATAAGAAACCTTACATTATGGAGATGTCAAAAGCTTAGATTTATAGCAGGCTGCCTCGTACTGTAGAAATTATTTGAATCAATAGCCATTACACAATCATAACACAGGTGCACAAAACCTACACTGCATGAATGCAAAGAAGTTGTATTGTCTGATGATTTAACCTTCATAGGTTATGGATAAAAAACTAATTATAATTCTAGTCCACATAGTCTGCTGCCTGGTCAAAGACGAAGTAGACAGCCACCTTTAGTTCCTTATCTTCTACCGGCCCACCGACACAGCGAATAGGCTATGCTAAATTGTCTAGAAGTGGATGAAGTTTGGGGCTGCCATCTCTTTTCCTATTTTGTTTTCCCCAAACAGAAAAACACATAAACTGGTTTGGTGCACATTTTATTTCATAGCCCGAAGACCCTCTCAAAAACACAAGCATGTCAATGAACACAATGCTTCTGTTCTGCTATTTGAGATCAACTCAGCTATGCTGCCTTTGACATATGAGGGTGCACTTTGCTTGTAGTGAGAGTAGCACTGAGAGAGGAGTAGAGGGAAAAAAAAGGCATCGTAAAGGGCGATATAACATAAGCAGAGAGCTGGAACTGGCAACGCACCAGCAAAGTTCAAAGCAAGAAACACAGTGATGAGTGTGTGAAATGGCTATTGTGAGTGGGAGTAAGATATACAAAGAAAGTGGGTTTGATCCAGTCATGGAAAATATGGGACAACTACCTCCAAGAGAAGTAAACAGGATATAAAGGATTCTGACTCTTGGCCAATCATTCTGACAACACTGCGAGGAAAATGTGTGTTTTTGCGTGGTGGATTTACGGTCTCTGGTGTGTCTGTGAAAGACATGGCACAGGGCCTGTTGTCCAACTTTTCATCGTGCTCGTGCCTCTATTTTTCCCATCTATGTGTTTTAAGAGACAGTCTTTACTCGGCTTGCAGCTTTGACAGGTTATTTTCTGTCTCTCTGCCAGAAGGCTGTCTATCTCCTCTTTCAACTCTCCAAGTCCCAAGAAGATCGTAAAAGAGATTGCAGGGCAAACTCAAGTCCACAGGCATGATCAAACTTTAAATGAGAATAGGTTGGACACACCAAATGCTATATCAAACACAGATGAGATTGTGTGTGCCATCCCTGGATCAATTTAAATAATGATGGCCACGCAAGTAATTTCTAGTACTCAGTGCAAATGGGTTTAAAAGTTGAAAGGGTCCAAATAGACTTATACGTACTTTGGTTATTTCTTTCCTCAGAATAAAACACTGTAATAATGTGTCCTTGAAACTTAATAAATGCAGCATGTCCTTCAGAAGGCTACATGCGGTTATGATTGCCTAATTTATTACATTCTCTATCTACGTTTATGGCAGTTTCATTATGGAAAGATAGAGCAAAGAAAAACCTTCTATAAAGTAATTATACCCCTTTAGAACATGTTTGAAGATGCTGAGAGAACTTCCCAAGGATAAGTTAGGGTATCTTTGTCTTAAAGTTATCATCCAACACTTCAGTTTTCACCCTATCTTGGTATTAGCCATCTTTTTCTACATTTATCTTTTCTGATAAGGTGCATAGAGTTAACTGGGTTCATTGAAATGTCTGCATGCCTCGCTGCTAGTGNTTTTCAGTGGCTGCACAATAAACGGCAACATAGAAAAATGAATGTAAATAAATAGCCAAATAATGGATCAACGCTCTAATATGTTCGCTAGCTGTTAGTGTTGTTGCATAGCAACCACCTCGCACTAGGTTTCGTGCAGAAGGCAACGGAGGGACTATTTTATTTTGAACATCATTATTTATTAATAAAAACTATTTAAATTAGAGTGTGTATTTTTCTTTCATATTGCCACACTTGGTAACCGTTTTATAAAAGCAATAGCTCACTTCAGGCCGTGATATATGCTCATTATATCACAGCTAAGGGGGTTGTCGACCCTCCGCTTCGCGTCGGGCCGAACCACGCCCCTTAGCTGTGATATAATGAGCATATACCACGGCCTGCACTAACAGCTAGCGAACATATTAGAGCGTTGATCCATTATTTGGCTATTTATTTACATTCATTTTTCTATGTTGCCGTTTATTGTGCAGCCACTGAAAAACTGTCCAGCATCAGTAGCATGGCTTACTTGGTTACTTGTATAGGTTGAGGCTCTAATCTAGGCTGTTGCTTGGCGTGGCGAGAATATTGCTCCACTTTCTCCGGTCCCCGAGATTGGGCTTCCAGTAGCTCTGGAGAGAGCTTTCGCACCTGTGGCCACTAACGGTCATAATTTCTCTGCTTTGTTTCAAGACCCGCATCAGAAAGCTTTTGAATGGTGGTACTTTTCCAGTTGGTCTACCTGCTCTTCACGTAGCTCTGCATGTTATCGTTTATGTGCTTTTTTTTCTGGAGATAGGCACTGCTCAATCCACTCCTCCATACTATAGTAAGACCCCCCCGGAGGTCGAAGTTAATCTTAAATGTTTCCATTTTATGCCTTGTAAGTTTGTTTCGTAACGGAAGAAATGTAAATATATTTATAAAACTGACAAGTCAAATCAAGCAATCTGATTGGTCGATAGCGTTTTTGCGGACCTCTTTGATTACAGATTTAAAAACATCGTTGCTTGCTTTAAAAGTAGCACAATTCATTATGTCAAACCTTGGAGAGTATCTAGATATCCCTGCCCTAGTGCTAAAGGAACTGCATTATGAATATGTTTTGCCGTTTGATGTCTATGTCTGGGCCGCTGCGTAAAAAGGAGGGTTTCTGCCCCGTTACTTCTCCGCTGCTTTCTTGTTCCAGTCTGAACCCAACTGTATACTGTTTGCCTCAGGCGCGGAGGGATACTGACATGTTGTGAAAAGTAATTTACAATTCTACCCGTGGTATACGCTCAGTATATCACGGCTAAGAACCAATCAGATTGCTTGTTTTGACTTGTCCGTTTTATAATATATTATTATTATATTATTAATAATGAGTTGGTTATCGCAAATAGTATGAATAACTATCCAGTTAGATCTATAACATTCTTGTATTGTAATACAATTACATATCTTAAGCGTAATGCAGTCCTTAAAACCAGGAAAAGACACTTCTTGATTACAATATCCAAAATGCAAGATGATATCTTGTCTCTTGCCACAATATTGATATAATGTCAGTATATTGTCCAGCCGTTGATCGTAGAAAATCCTTTGCAACCTTTGTCAATCAGTGTCAAAGGGCTTTGAGTACAGAAATGTTACATTGCAGCAGAGTCCAATTTAGTTTGAGTTTGAATCTGGGACTTGCTCTTCACACTGATTGGTTGGAGGGTAGGATGGTAATCACAAAGCCTCTCCATCCTGACATGAGTCCTGTCTACCCCTGCTACCTCCTCCACTAACAACCATCACTCTCCATCAACTGTCCCTCAAGTCAATAGATATAATGTTCATGAAATCCTGACAGATGAGTCTTCGTTATAGCAACAAAGAAAAGGTGTGTTTCACGCAGTGTTTAAAGAAAGATATCACCGAGCGGCTGATGGGTCACAAACAGACAAGTAGGCAAACAGAGAGAACAAACAGACGAGCTGCTTAGTTTATAGACAGGCAGAATGAGAACAAGATACACATATGGTTCTAAAGATAACGGCTGAAAACACACCTGCTGCCCTACACAGACAAATAAACAGATCACTTCAATAAAGACAAGAGAGGATTTAAATCAAGGTGAATTCTTGACAACATAGATCTATTGATATGCTATTAATAAAAGCGCAGCATAACAGAACCATTACCTGTAACACAAATCCAATTAAATGCATTATTATTGCTTTTGCACATGTCCATTTTAATACATACAGCGTCTTCAGCGTTCATGGATCATTTGAGACATTTCAGGTGAAATCGAAAACAATTCAATGAACCGTAACACAGAGGTGAGGTGCTATTTATAATGAGGCAAGAAGATTTGTATCTGAACAAGTATAGGGCAAACCATGTGGTTATTCTAAACA